CCAGGTGTCCCATGGTCCGCCGCTTAAACTCAAATGACTGCCTTGACAGCAGTTTTCCTCTGGAAGGAATTCAGAATAATAAACTTGGGTGATGTGTGCTCTAAAAACCGTTCTCATAACAACTTGATACAAAGCATTTTGCTGCCTCGGAGGAAACAGGAGTTTCAAGCACCCATCATCTATGTACATTAAACTTCAAAAATAGTTCATAGTCTTCTGCATGGGTGGCTGGGTGAACAAGCTCTTTATTTCACATGTGATCCCGATTCCCCTTCTGGCATTTAGCTCCACAGATGGCAATATCACGGTTTCTAACTCATGTGAGGGAGAGGTAGGCCCACTGGTGCAGACGGATGACATGCATTCATCTGTGACTGACCTGTCAATAACAGGTCTAGACATAAAGTACACCGGGCATGTTACATAATTATTATTTCTCTATTTTCCTGTGGGATAGACCTGGTTTTATTTTTTAGTTATGCTTGGGGTCATAAAATTCCTGTTAATCCAGGTGTCAAATGTTTACTAAAGCTACATTAAAGTCACTATTTTAGTTATGCTGCAATAAACTAAAATACTGCAGAGAAGCCACTGCCACAAAACACATATTACTAACTTTCTGTATGTTTGTGAGACACAACTGTGTAGACTGTGCACTTGGTATGAGAGATTGAGTATTAACCCAGCCATATAATATGAATATAATGTAGAAATGAGTAAGTATGCAACATTTTCTAGTGTGGTAAAACATTTCTCCCTCACTGACTCGTGCAATAATTTTAAATCTGGCTGAGTGATAATGTATCACCCGTGGCCTCATTTCTTCAATTAAGTAACATGAATTTATTTTAATGCACATCAAAATGACAGCAGGTGGAGTGTGAATGATAGTACCAAGGCACAGATCTTCTAGTCACAGCTAGTGTGGGGTTTTCATTTTCACCAATCAACCGTTTCCTTTATGAGCAAACAAAATTACTTAAACTAAAATTAACGAGAATCTCCAACTCTGTGACTCACCCCGTGAAAAAAAAAAGATAGAGAAATGATATGTTACCTTGCTGAGTGCACACACTTGACTAAACCAGGAAAACTTCTTGCAATGTGACTCCTACATGATTAGCAACACCAGGAGCATGAAGCTAATCTCTTACTGCAGGAAAGCCCACCGGGTAAGGAGGTGTGAGGAATCTGTGAGTGTGCTGGAGCCATAACACAAGTGGAAGAAGGAGAGGAATTAATCACTTCAAAGAAGACCAAAATATGTTCTACACCTGCAGTGGTCACGTATTAAAACTTCCAATCACGTCCACCTCTCTTGAGCATGGATTTACCAACGGTTTATTGAGGTATTAGGGGGATATTCAAGGGTAAAGTGTTAGGTAAGAAAGGAAACTTTGACTGCTAAACTGAAAGTATATGGGCTCCTCCTGTGTTTACGTTGTCTCTGAAAGTCATAATCTGATTGGGGTTTTCAGTAATCATCATCCTCTATCAGCTCATTCAATTAAATTCATTATATTGTTAGGGGGGTCTCCACAGATAAATGGAATTAGTCTTAAGGGAAATTATTAATACAGTACCAGTCAAAGGTTTGGACACAACTTCCTATTCACTTGAATGAAAAATAAATAAAATGTTATTATAATATATTCTTTTTAAAACCTAATTTATCAGATGCTCTGTTCTGTTCAAAGGTTTAAATAATATGTATTGTGTTTTTCAACACATTATAGTGGAAAACTATAGAATTAAAGTGTATCACTGCAGCTTTAAACATAACAAAACACATAAAGAGGATAAAGGAGGAAAGCAAAATAATCAAAACTAGTGTTAAACATTAATCAATTCACATGCAACAACAGATTTACATCTAAACTTTGGGCAAAGAGGAAGCCGACATGGGAAAACATGTTAAAATTGCCAGAAATCTCAATTTCTGTGATTCTGTGATTCCATTGATCCACAATCCACAGCCTACAGGTACACTTTTAATAATTTTCTACTATTGAGCAGTAAACTCTTGCCTGTTTGCTTTTTAAACATTCCTGTGCTGTGAATTGTCTTTGATCCTCAAGATCTTTTTATTTCCATTACAGGAACGAAACATGTAGTGTTTATTTGATAGAACATTTAAGGGTGATTGGTGGAAATAATGCTCTACCATGAATGGAGTAGCCTTAAAACGTCATAAGCATAAGAAATTAATTTTCCCCAAATACGATGACAGTTTCGAAACAACAGGAACTAAGTTGTCACGCTCCCTCGACAAACAGGAGCAGTGACTGCTCAGGGATTTTTGACAACACATCATAACACTGAACACAGAACAAATCACACCTCCAGTGGGGAGTAAGAGAATTGTAGCAGGATTATGCACCTGGCACTGCCACGTGAATGTGATTCATGAGGAAAAAAAATTCTGTCAAGTGTTTATTCTGCCAGGGTACCACCAGAAGGTTGTTAATATTCAAGTCTTTGGGCATGTGCAACACTCATGTAATGGATTTTCTCTCTGCAATTCAGGCAGGCCTTTGCATATAGCTGAGGGACTTCTGATCCAATGATGGGTGACAGCCAAAGATAACAAAAAATCCCACTATAATTACTGTTCTGATATTGCCAGCCAGCGCTACTGTGGATTAGTCTTCCAGCAGCTGTGTAACAGTATGTAAGGTTGTTGCTAAAAATAGAAAGAAAACACCCATCTCTTATTCACACAATTTGCAGCTTGCTCACTTTCTTGCCCCTATCCCCTCCCCTGCCTCTTCTCTCCTTCCATCTCCCCTTCCCTTCCCTTCCCTTCCCTTCCCTTCCCTTCCCGCACTCGTACATCCGAAATCACAGACATGCAGCACGAGCTTCAAAGAGCATAGATAACTTGGGGAGCACAAGACTGACTATAATTCACCACAACACATGCAATGATAATGTCATTTTGCACCAGAGTGGCATTTAGGTTAAATTCAGTGCTCCCAGTGCTCTCACCTATGCTGTGAACGATAAGTCAAGGCATTGGAGGCAAGTCACTGTGAATAAGCTCCACAGTTTGACTTAAAGTTGTCTTTAAGTTTGGTTTGAATGGGGGAAAGCGGCAGAAAGGGAACAAAATAATACCCACAGGGCATATGTAAAAAAAAAAGTGCAACAAAGACTGAATATTCAGTCTGAGTAAAGAAAGCTTGACGTGCCTGTAAACATTTAAACAGTCATGTCTTTTCCATTGATTTTCCATGGTGTCGGCCGCCTGCTGTGTTCCCCACTCTGCCTGGATGTGAAGTGAGTAATCATTTCACTCGTTCAAATCAGGAAACCTATCAAATCTGAGCCATTCTGATTAAAGACTCCAACAAACAAACAAACTGCAACCCCTAACCTACAAGCAGCACAGATCACAGAGGAGCAATTCTACAAAAGAAGCCATTCAAAAAAAAGTTTCTGTTGTACATTGAGAGAAGTCTAACATTTGCTTTCCTGTTGCACAACAGCAGCCTAAAAGCAAGCCATTATTTATTGATGAATAACAAAATCGAATCAGACAAGGTATACCGCAAACTAAATATTAAAAAAAAGCTCAAGATCGTGCCTCATACAGCAATTGAACTGAAGAAAAAAAAAAATCTATTTCTGTACCACAGTGGATGAACTTGCCCTGCAGACACAAGCATGTATATACAATCACCTAAATCTGCAGCAAACCCGTGAAAAATCACAACTCACTACGCTTTGCATCAGTGCAGCCATGGCCAAGGGGTGCCATTTTCTGTTTTAGGAATTCTGTGACACCTTGTAACAGAACACTCGGGGCAGATTTTGTCATGCAGTGTGGTTTGATCCTGAAAAAAAAAAAAAAGCCACAGGGCTCAAACACACACACTCATTGCAAGTCATATATACAAATAATGCACAATTTCGCCCACATATGCAGAGTTTGAATGGGGGCTGTGGGTGTCTGGCACCCATACTGCAGAGAATCCCTTCAAATATTGATAAAAAAATAATTCCCATAAGCATAATTATGAGCAAACATCATCTATTTTTCATTACAAATTCACTCAGCAGCCTCAGACATATTTGCAAAGATGAAATCTACAAAAATGAATTTGTAGAGTTGGTGCAGCATTTAATGCAAGAGCACTTGTTTGACTTAATGTGGACTGGAGAAAAAAAATAGCAGTTCTGTGTAATCAGTCTCAGCAAAAATCAAAGCCTTATATTGCTTTACTCTTGTATTTTTGAATTTGAACTGTAATTTTGGACTGTTTATAATTAACTGGGGGTTTTTTTTGTTTTAAGACCTGTGGCATGTTCGATCAGACATAGATCAAAGGTTTGTACTCACACATGAAAGGTGAGCTCCACTCTTGCACACACACAAGACACATCGCACAGACATTCACACCTGACATCTCTCTTGTGCAAGAAAGAAGCATCACAGTCTATCAACATTAACACATCATTGTGTCAAACAGCATTACACCACAAACGATTCAATATCGAAAATATAAAACCCATATATTTGAGAAAGCCATGCTGCATGAAGTAGCGTGAAATATGAATTGTGTCTTTTTCACAGTGATTTCACCACAAAGAAGACAGACCAAAAATATGAATAGCCCTTATAAAGGATAAAAGGGTAACATGATTAAAAAAAATTGAAAGAACTGAATGATAAATTGCACCAGAAGCTTCTTAAATTTTTTTTTAAAAATAAAAGGTTATTTCCAACCAGCTTTTGGTGAAACTGGGACACACTCTTCAACTGTTGCCTCCCTAAACGCCTTAATTTTGCACACCAATATCACAGGATTTAAATTTCTGTCATTATCAGAACAGTCCACTTTTAAATCTGTTTAGCATTAAATATGAAAGAACAGTGGGTGCACCCCATTATTGAAACACTGCATGCAATCAAGTTAAACTTAATCAGCATCAAGCAAGGTAAATAAAACTTTGATGTTTTGATATGTTGCAGACTTTAGGTGGCTCTTAACACTCACTGGCTTGCATGAGCTGACCCTGACGCCCAAACACCTGGGAGAAAGGGCTGCGACGGCAGGTGAGCATCTCCTCCATGGCTGAATTCCTGCGGGAGGGGAAAGGTCCTTCGTCTTGAGGAAGAGTGAGTGCACTGAGGGTCAGCCTCTGAGTCTGGAGAGGGTCGGCTCTTGCACTGGAGAGATCCTCTCTTCTCCCTCCCTCAACTGACTGCTAATTTGCAGATAAAGCCACCTCACGACCTCTCCTACGCTTTTCCCAGGGCTGTCATTTGCTTTTTACAGCTGCCTCCCGACTGACTGCAGATCAGTCCTGTGTCTCGTTGCCTCAGACGCCGTCAGAGATGCTGCTGCTCCTCAGCTGATGGGAGATCTGCGTTGGGTTGCTCTCAGCCTGCTCATTAGTGCTCCAGTGTAGCACTGCTTCAGACAGAGAGCACAGCAAACACAGCATGAACAAAGCAAGAGAGAAAGAGAGAGAGAGAGAGAGAGAGAGAGAGAGAGAGAGAGAGAGAGAGAGAGAGAGGGAGGGAGAGAGAGGGATAGTAAGCAAAGAGAAGGAGAAGCCTGCTGCAGAGAGAAGACAGACTCTCTCTCCCCCGATAGAAGTGAGAATAGAGATGACAGTGTGTGCATGTGTGTTAAGTGTGTGTATAGCCAGTTCTGACATTATACTGGAGCTGCTGCTGTTTGTAGTCTCTGGCTGGTTTCTTCTTTTTCTTTTATCTCCCACTTTTTTTAATACAACCTCAATCCTCTATAGAGAACTGTCAGGCATATATAGGAAATGGACAAAATATCCAACAGATAAGCATGATAACATCTGTCATAAGCAGAAGTAAAAAAAAAAAAAAATGAACCAAAGAAATTTGGTAAGTTCATAGACTGCAAGCAAATATCAGCATACTCTCAATGTTGCCTGGGGTCTGTTCATTCAGTGGCATCCATATTAAATGGGAGCTTGGAAGTCACAGACAGGGAAAACAGGACTTGCAGTTCCTCAAAAACCAAGAGCTAAACATAGAACATTGAGGTAAACTGCAAAACAACTGATGCAACCAATCATGACTTTGTGCAGCAGTAGAGAAAGGTGGAATGGAGAGAGGGAACGGGAAGAAGTGCAGGTCTCAAACCTGTCATTGGATTTGATTTGGTGTACACCTCCATCATTACTTTTTCTTTTCTGTGATCTACTGTGTGGGTATAATGCCTGGCTCTAAACCAAATTTGCTTCAGGATAATAAAGTTTTTTCTTTTTTCTTACTCCCCCTTACTTCCGTACTCAGGTATTATATTCCAAATATAGACAGATAAGACTGATCCTGCATCTCTCTGTCTCTCACTCACACACTTGCTGTCAGGTATATGTAGGTCTTATGCAGCACTTTGCTTGTGCAGGCAAAAAATAGCACATATGCAAGTGCCTCTCAAAGCAAAACACAGATTCTGAACCCAACCATGGACACAAAAATCAGTTTCAAACTAAAGGGGCCAGAGGATCATTAAAAATGGATCCACATGCTTTATTAATGTCCTCATTACCATGTCTGTTCTGCTCCCGCATGAACAGCATGCTGAGAGGGAAGAAGTGGCTTGAACAAAAGTACTTTATCCCAGTATCCTGTTTGTATTATTGCTTCCACCAAGTGCTGCTCGGAGGGGGTTGGTTACCTTCACAATGCCAGAGACGGGTTCGTCTTTCCTTTGAACTCAGTCTTACATAAGTTGTCGGAGGCAGCAAATTAGCTGTATTAGGAGCTTCACAAGCCTACAATGTTTAAATATTTGAATTTTTCCTTTAGATAAGTACTAACTGAGATAAAAAATACAAAAATTTCAAGGGGCGAAAGGCCAAAACTATACTGACTGCCCCAAAAGAAAATACAAAAAAGAATAAACATACAAGAAGTAGGTTAATGTTCAGTTATGTAAAGAGTGTATTTAAGGTCCTGTGTGGAACTTTTAGAAAATCCTTGTTTTTAATGACACCAGTGAATTGCAGTCAGCATCTGGTTGCTCACGCTTGGGCTTGAAGAGCGATGTCCATCATCCTGGGCATTGGCCAAAACAGCGGTGTGACATACACAAGACTGAACGCTGAAATTAACACTGAATGCTGGAAAATAAATTACAATATTAATATTTACAATTATAATATTTAATATAACCGTATTATCTGTAGCCTAATATTTTATTTGGACCATTAGCTTGCCGTTTGTAAATCATCACATCATCATCCACAAAGCTACGCCAAACTCAAAACGAGCAGCCGAGCCACTGCTTATCTGAGGTTGTAATTAGCTAGTTGGCTTCACCCCTCTTTTTATCGATCTTGGCTAATAGAAAGCAATCATTAGTTATACAGCTTTGCTTTGTTCTGTTACATCATTTACCATTGGCTAAAATATAAGTTAGTAGGCTGTCATGAATCATATTAGCTGGTGAAGTATTTTGCAAGCTAACACATCCACTCAGATCTCAATAAAAAGTGACTAATACATGTAAATGACTTCACATTCTTATATATTGCACCTTTAAACATAGTGACATCCAATTTTGCCTCAAAAACATCACTGTCACATCAGCCAGAACAAGCCGTGCTAGAGGTGGTGTGACTCAGCTCTATTATGTGTCTTCACCTTAAACACTGTGATCCTGACAGGTCCCTGTCATCATTTCATGGAACCTGTACATGCAAAGTTAATCATCTCCGCCAGATGACACACTGCATCATTCAAACTCCACTCGTCATTCAAGCTCCAGGAACAAGACAGACTTCAAACCCACCTGGGAGGGAAAAAATACATTTTGTCTCACACGTTACAAATTTTACTTAAGCATTTATACTGTTTATCAAACTTTCAGTAAGGATGATGAAATGAACGAGAAGGAGATCAAAGGTTTCTCATCAGACTTCTGGGATGGATGTTTTTGTTTTCCATCATCTCTGATCATGTGTCCTCACTTCTCATCATAACTTCCTGTGAGAATTCAACATGGCCCTGGGCTAAGATCCGAAGCTATGTTGAGCATACAAATGCAGCATCGCAGTTTGAAGTTATTGCTGAGCTTGTGAGCTCTGGGAGATCCTGTACCTCGAGGCTAGGGTTTGTCACTAAAGGTACACTAACACAACTCCTAACTAAAAATCATCTGACTGGCACTGACGCTGGAAGCAGCTCATCCCAAAGAGAGAGACCATCCTAAATGCCTTTTTTATACTCTTCTGCAATTAATCCTCAGAGATTTTCCTCGGTTCAATTACAAAGTGACGTTACAACATATGCTCTCAACCTATATTTTCTGGAGCTTTGAACTCGTCTGAGAGAAAAAAAAATCCAAACCACTTGTGTTGATTTGTCACAAAAGCACTAAAAGCTTCTAAACAGTGAAAATATAAGCTTCACCAAGGGAGAGAACAAGCCTTTACATAAGAGCATACAGCAGACTCAACCGGTTCGCTTCACCTGCTGCTCATGCTGCTGCTGCTGGTGAGTCGTTTGCATCTGTGTTTTATTACAGTGCTGGCTATAGCCTTGACACAAGGGGATGGAGGGAATTACAGAGATATGTCAATGTCACAGACTGATGTACGCTGCAGCTACTGTTTCCAAATATTCTCATATTGAAGAATCATAAAAAAAAAATTATCTTTTCCCTGGACCCGTACATTGTTCGCCTGTAAATAAAATATTCTGCATAACTGCCAAAATTCCAATTAAATTCATGCCCACTGTGCTGCATGTTGATGAACAATTAAATTTAGGCAGAGATTACTTTTCGTCTGTTAATGTTTGATCAAGAGAGCGTGCTGACACAGGCTAGCACTTGGACCTCTCTACAGACAGCATCAGTCAACATTAATGTCAATATCCATGTTCTAATTTAAAAGGGGCGAAGTGGTCTGTCAAGGCTCGTGGCATTCAAAGATACTTCTTTCATCTTGGTAAAAATGTATATAATAAAAATGTATATTAATGTATATGCTTTACTATACTGTATGAATGCTCAAGCACAAGACTTAAATGTATCCTGAGCTTTTGACCACTAGTGCTGCTATGGAGCAATGTTTTGACAAGTAGGCCCATGTCTCGGCTATAGCTTGCGTTGCCAGATAATGTCAATAAGTCCAAGTTTTGGTTTTGGTATTTATACAGGCTTGACGGTACCAAACCTGGCGACCTCACTGTCATGACAAGTCTTTGGGAAGCTGCGCAAAGTCACTGTAATAAAGAAATACTTCCAGCATTGAACTCTTTGTAAAACCTTACATTTTTTATGTACAGGTTAAGCAAATGATATACACTGTGTGATGTGTAAATACGTCAGCTTTAGTGTGTTAGTATGTTTTTTCACTTTATGCTAAGCTAGGCTAACTAGTTGTGTAGTTGAAGCACAAACATGTGACTGATAATAATCCTCTTATCTTGGAATAAAAGTGTGTATGCATATTTTTGAAAATAAGAGAAGTACCCCACAAATATAGACCTAAATTACATGATCACATATAAGGGTGATAGTCTCCTTTAAGTCCATATAGTGGGGTGTTTCTCTTATTTTATAATAGTAATAGTCCAATATTTTGGCAAATATTGGACTATTACTATTATTATTATTGCACATCCTATTTCTGTAGAAGCCAATTTCTGCTACTTCAAAATATTTAAATATAAATTAAAAACTAAAAAACTAACTAACTTAAAATGTAAAAGTTTTTGGATACTCCAGCCAAAGTGGATGTGTTGGCGGTAATGCTCTGATCATGTAAGCTACAGTTTTAAGACCATAAATTAGTTTAACACTTCAAACACTTCAGATGCTGGTTTTAGCAGGTTTTCTAGAACTTTAAATTTTATTTTCAACCAGGAGTTTGTGCTTTATTATATATTATAATTACACATCTGATGCATTAATAAAACCCAGAAGATAATTTAACAACACCTGGTTTTAAAGTACTTCTGACTCTGACTCTCTATTAAAAACATAGTGCGCACATATTTTTCATCAGCTTGCTCAGCCACACTGTATCACTTAAAGTGTTTCACTTTTTGAGTGATGATTGTTTTAATGAGATTAGTCCTTTTATAACCAAACTGGTTCTACAGGCGATTGCAGCCATGGAAACAGATGTTTCACATTAGCTCAGTGGTTAGTACTTTTTCCTCACAGACAGAAGATCCTGAGCTCAGTTCCCTTCTGGCAGATTATTTTCAATTTACAGCTTCTCACAAAAACTTAGTGCCTTTCTACTTTTTCCAACAAACTGTGCTACTTCGTAGGTTGTGCATTTATGGTAACAGTTTCATTCCCTGGTTGAAATTCAAATTTTTTTACATGACTCAAATTTAAACTATAACTACTACACCTGTGTAATAAAAATGATAAAAACTATTTTACCATTTAGAGGCACATGGAGGCTAACTCGTTTTCTAGCATGTAAAGCAGCCTATATGGTACTGAGTCCCGTTTCCTCCATGGGAATGGCCCTCGAGAGGAGTTTGGTTTCAAACTAAAGGGATATTTTACACAAAATATTGTTTAAAAAATCAGTTTTATGTCATCATGCCCTGACCAATACACACGGTAAGCAGCAGCGAGCTGCCTTATCGGTGCTGATATTTATCAGTATACAAAACAAGATACATAAAATAACAGTGTCCATGTTGTTATACATTATATTTGGGTGGCAGTAGCTCAGTCTGTGGCTTGGGAACTGGAGGATCACTGGCTCAAGACCAGCACGGCCCTTGAGCAAAGCACCTAAACCCTAACTGCTACGTGACTGACAGCCATCACTCTGCCATCTTTCCACATTTACATGTCCATGAGATTGTATTTCAGGTCTATGTGTGTATAAAAACATTACAGCATGTGTGTGTTGTGTAAAAAGTTATTTCCCCATTTAGGGATTAATAAAGTAAATCTTGTTCATATGTAAGGACTCCTGCACTCATAAAGATGTGAATGTGGAAGACATGCAAACGTCTACTGAACTTTTGCTGATGTATAATTCAATGCATGATATTTATTTTTAATGGCGTACAACTGCCTTGTAGTACTGATACTTATATGTTAATGTTAATATGATTTGGACCAGCGGTCTGAAGGCTGCATCGGTTTTTACCTTCAGATGAACCAACGCTAGACATGAACAACTGTCCTCTGTCCAAACCTGGACCAGTCCAGCAGCCCACAACTCATCCTCCATAGGATCCCTGCACCGACCTCCCTCAGTGGCTCCACATCTGTGTCTGACCTTGGACCCCCAAGATCTCCCTCTTGCTTCCCCTTTAGAGCCTCCTCCAGTGTTTTCCCTCCCTCATGCTCCAGTTCTTCCTGTACTACCTAGCCTCTAGGTAGCTCATAATCCACTAGCTCCATTAGTTTCTCCACTGGCTGTAGCATGTAGCTCTTCTTCTAGCTTTCCCCTCTAGATTTTCTCTTAGCATATCCTCCAACTCATCCCCTGCCTCCTCCTCTAGTTGTTCCCCCAGGATGCTCAACTACTTACTCCTATTGCACCTCCCTTAACTCACCCCCTTACTTTTCCTGTAACACTTCTTCCAGCTTCTCCTCTCCCATAGCGTCTGTTCTGCCTACTCCCCTCACTCTTCCTCAACCCCTACCATCTGCAGCTCTCGCTCTAATTATAACTGCGTCTTTCATTTGTCTTTTATAGAAGAGGGTAGGAGGTGGGAAGGACATAAGTGTGAACTCTCTAATGCAAAAGGTAAATATACATTTTCTTTAATGTGATATGGATAATTTAGCTGTTCACTGTCACACCCATGTAGGATTAAGGTCAGTGCCCACACCCCGACATTCTCAAAGTTCTATTTTATATTATTTTACATTATCTAGGACAGTGTTTGAAATAAGTGTGGAATTTATTTGTGGTAGTTTTTTTTGTGTGGTAGGAATTTATTTGTGCCTGGCCAGGGTAATATGCATTCTTCTCCAAAGATCTGTAAAATTATGAGCAAATCAAAAAAGCTTTAAGAGCTTTATTATTTTTGGTAATATCATGCTCACATGCTGAATTCCTAACAAAGTTGTATTTAATCAAATTGCCACAAACTAAGATAAATGGCATTGTTCCAGCAAAGGGGGACACATTGTGCAGAGGGTGGAAGGTGGGGGGTCATTAGGGGTTAATCAGGACTCTGTACAGTGAATGAACTGTACCAGAGAGGACACATTATCATGTTCAGTCCCAGTGCACCTGTGCCTGCACCCATAAATAACTTTGCCAATTAGACATAACTCCACAAAACTGTGCTTGTGCAGATCATTTTTCTTGAGAGGAATGGTGGGTTGCTGTTGCCTCACAAGAGGGTTCTTGGTTTGACCTCTTGTTTTATAAAGACAGACTGTTGCTCTTTCCTAAGGCACTGCACTAAGTTTGTTGAAAAGAGATATGAGCTGCCTGAAATGTACGGAAACTTTCTTTCAGCAAAGGCGAGTGCACATACATTTACTGTTTATTTTCATCACTTTTTATGTAAATTTCTCAATTTAGCCCCAGGGTGTGATTACAAAACAATGGTTAATGTTAAATTATGAGAGGCACAAATGAGAGCTTGGTTAATGTTAACTAATTTACAGTTGCAAATGTCAGGGAACGCATTACAAAGAGAATCAGTTTTGTACTTTAATGTTTTTAAAAAGCAATGAAATAGCTCATTGAACACATAATTGTTGCAGCTCCTCACTTTTGGATTGTCTCTTCAGTCAGCTGCAATATTTATATTATTTTGTTGTAGATTCTAAATATGTAGATTAAAAGTGTTAACAATTAATATCTACTCCACAAAATCATTCACTACTTTCTAAGAAAACAGGTCACAATCTGGATACCTTTGGCATTCAGTTTCTAAATGTTAAAATACTGGTGGTGGAGTGTCACTGTAAATGGATTTTTCAAACAGAATGTGGGAGTGCAGAAGAGATGTAGTGGTATTACCAAATCCCCTCTCTATTGAATCCCCTGCTACAGTGCTTAAAGTAAGTCAAGTGTGCCACCACCTGGACATTTTACTACTTTCTGGTAAGGAACATACAGCAGTGGATTTGTGCAAGTCTTGTCAAAATCTGTTAACACAAGTTATAAAAAATAATAGCTGATATTATGGTATAATTTCCCAACATGAAATCCACTGACTTCTACATAAAGAATTTACCAACAACAATGTGATTAGTTTGATTGGTTTATTAAAGAAAGTTTCACACAAACTTCACATTATAACCTTAACATTCTCCATTTATTTTGAATACTCGCTTGAAAAACCTTTAGTGCAAATCATATAGAGGAACTGTTCAGAGATTGATAACATGATTTTAAGTTATTATAAATATACATGACAATTTACACTTTGAAATGCTACACGCACTTTTCACAGTTAAATAACAGTCTCCCAAACGGTCCTGTACATCAAACACATTGCCGTCTGTCTCAATGAAGGGAAATATTACCAGTGATGGATGAGAAGGCAAAAATGTAAAATAGAGGTACTATTACTTACTTACTCTCTCTCTCTCTCTCTCTCTCTCTGATACAGGACACTGTCAAGTTTTAATTTGCCCAAATTAATATAACTCATTTCAATCATCATAAAATAACTACCCTGTATAGCACTAGGTAACCAAACTAGTAGCTTATCAACATTTAAATCAAACATTTTTATGTCATTACAGGGTTCCAGCAAAAAATACCCTGTAATTAAACTTACATTTCTGTTTTGAGATTTATATATGTTTGAATTCATTATACACACTTCACACAATAAACTGTTGACAACTGTTATACTACTGCTTATACAGCAATGACGAAGTGCCTGTATGATACAGATGACAAAGATCTAAACAGACTGTACTTCTTGGTGGGAAAAACACACAAAATCATATTTCCAACAAGCATTTTGTGAAACAGGTGCAAAATAAAACCTACAAGCCAACTGGACTACTGTAAATGTTTCAGGATTTCAGGAGAACTTCAGTATGGCCACGCACTGGAACTAGCTCTGTCAATGCTGTTTAGAAGTGAACTCTTATTACTGTTAAAGTGGCAATGATGCATCCAAGTTATACAGAACATTACATAGTACTTCTGTTTCAAACTCGCACTCCCAAAAGTTGAAAACTTGTTTGTGGTGGTCTATAACTTCCAAAAAATCCAACATATGAGATTAGGCTGCACAGGGGGGTAAGAAAATAAAAAAAAACAAATGTGACAGCACATAAATTTGTTCTTTTCAATCTGAACTTTAAACTGCAGCTCCTATTGAATAAGCAAACAAATCAATCTATTTGCATGGGCCACCAAAATAAATTCCATATGTGGGACACCAAACTATGTTTATTCTTCATTATCTTTATGCCACATTCAGTTATATACATTTGATGGCACATAAATATCATTCTCAAAACCTTCATACAAATACATAGAAACCGGGGCAACCAGGTTATATACAATTTGGATTCGCAAAAGGCTGTAGCATTAAATCTACCAATGTTACATTCACACCAATAATGAAAACACTGAATTCCCTAAAGGTGATCAACAGTGCTGAGACCCTTAATAATTTGTAAATTATACTATACTATAGAGTGTTACTTTTCTATGATTCTGTAATCTTGCGTTTAGAAGCTATCTTAATGTGTCTTCCATGTAATTACACTGGTTATTGTCAATCAGACCAACAGAGCAACATCAGATTCAGTGTTTAAGGCCTAACTGCATCAACATAATCCATCCGAAATGAATGTCGCTGTTGTACGAGCTCACAGCATGCAGTAAGAGTTTAAACCAAAAAAGGCCACAGACAACAGATAAGGAAAAGTGCAAATGCATGCTGAAAATGATTGCCACCTGCCATCCTCTCTAAATAACCCACCAAGTATGAAATGAGAGCAGCCTCCCTGCTCAATTCCTCCCACTTCCTTTCCAATTTGTGACATGTAGCAGTCAGATTAACTTCAAAGTGCAAATCCAAGCAGTTGACAGAAAGTTTACCAAATGGAGGAGAAATTTACAAAACTTCAAGCTACTACAAAAGCATTCAAAATACTCAGTTAAGCACATCCACTCACTGCAGTATCTTAAGTCGTCTGTTTTATCCATCCTCGGTTCAGTCGTTTATCGTACAGTGTGATGCAATCTATGAGTTCATGGGCTTTACAGTGTGATTCAGTCGTCTCCCTTCAGTATCAGTATGACACAAGTATGTTCCACACAGCAGGGTCCTGAAAACAACAAAACCGAGCATATGTTGAGAAAGATATGGATGTTAGGTTGCTTATAATCATCTGTTTAGGTTTAACATTAGTTATTTTTCAGAACATAGCAGTGTTCAGATCTAATTAGCTGTGCATAATTTATTTATAATAAAACACTCATCATCATCATCATTTTACCAATGAACTTAAATGCACTTAAACTACCTGGTGATCCCCGGTGGGCTGCTGGGTACTCTTCAAGCTGTAGGACTCTGCTTGGAGCTGCTGGTAACGGCTCCGGATGCTTCCTCTCGGCTCTGGGTGGGAGGCCGCTCATCCTTCTGTGATGCAGTCTGTTGTGGTTTCACTATGGTGATTTTGATGGGGATCCCTTTGACGCTATGCTGCACTCTGCTGTACTGACGCATGGAGGGATTGAACGTGCGAACAATGGTAGGTTCATTCAGAGTGGGTGCCTCTTGTTTTGGCTGCATGCTCTCTTTTATAATTATTTTACTTCTTTTGTTTGAAAAGACTGTTTGCACTGGGAGGATGGCGGGCCTCTTAGCAGGGCCAGAAGTCTGCAGTCTCGTTTTATGCTGAGGAGAGGCTTGTTGTTTCTCTTCAACCCCTCGGTGCAGGTGTCCATCATTTTCCTTTGTCACAGAGATTCCTCCCTCTTTTCTTTTCTTCACCTCTTTAGGTTTCTTGGGGCAGACTGCCATGTGTTTGGTTCTGCTGCGACGCATTGTGAACTCCCTGCTGCAGTGTGGGCAGACAAAGATCTCCTGCTGCGCATCTACTTGTGCAGGTGAAATTTTATTTGAAGGGATTGACTTGTTCCTCTGTGGCATGATCCTTTGAACCAACTTCTTCTTCCTTTTCTTCAGTACCTTGAACTTCACCTTTACTGGTGATTCTTGGTTAGGTTTGGACCTGTTTGACTGGCTAGGTCTGTTCGAAGCATTTAGTCCATTAGTAGAATTGGTGGTAGACAGAACTCCATTTTGAGTTTTTGCAAAATGGCGTAGTGGGATGGGATTCTTTTTGGGTGTGTATCGCCTTTTATCACTGGCATTCGCACAAGCCAGGATATGCTTGTGTAGCTCTGGCATGTTATCAAAGCTTTTCCCACACTTAGTGCACCGAATAGCCGTACTAAAGGTTTGTGGGATGTTGTGGGTGGTGAAGTTTGTGGCTGAAGCCACTGATCCAGCGGGTGATCTGTTATGGTAAGGAAATGGTGGGGGCTTAAAACTGGGATAATGTTGATTAATGCCAAGACGAACATCAGGTCCTTTGATTTTGCTTCCATCTGAAGCCATGATTTTTATTGTTGTAAACAGTTCTTCAGCAGCCACATCAACTTCACCTTCTTCCTTTTTCACTAGTTTCTCAGGTTCCTCTGGAGCATCGGGCACCGAAGCCTCTGTATTTACCTTTGTTGAGTTGTTGTAGTTCTGAGGTCTCAATTTTCCCTTTTCTTCTTCTGTGTATGTGCATTGCTGGCCGGGATGCAATTCTTCCTGATGCTGCTTCAGGTTGCAAAGGTAGACAAATTCTTTTGTACATGCACTGCAAACGTAAGTCTTGCCGACACCGTGGAGGCTTGATCTATGGTCAAGCAAAGCGGAGGGTTTGCCAAAGAGCTGTAGGCAGAACTCACATTTGTAGGGCCACTCATCAGCATGGTCGCCTACATGGTCACCTAGTTCTTTCATTGAATGGAAAAGCTTATCACACACATTGCAGATGAAATTTTTGGTGAAAGTCTGTTGTTGTGCATCACTTGGTGTGACGTTTGAGGATTTGTCCTCTTCAGCCTTCTCAGATGAAGGTGAGGTTTTAGATGGGATTTCTGGCATGGAATCAGTACTGTCAGCAGCTTCCTCCTCTTTTATGCTTGGTGCCTCTGCGTCAACAGCAGGCTCTGGATCAGGACTTGATTCAGCCACAGCAGGACAATCAGAGATCACTGAGGTGGTGCTGGACAGAGTTACTGACTCTGCAATGGAGGACACAAAAACAGTGGGGTCCACAGTTTGAGGGTTGGGCACCGATACAATCTGCTGCTGTTCTATGTGATTAACAACCATCTGTGAAGGTGCTGGAGGCTCAGCTGTGTTTTCTTGTAAGGTTATTGCAGCAGGGACTACACTCCCCGGGGCTTCGAGAGCTATTGTGCACTCTATCAACACTGTGTTGCTGGTAATGTTGTAAGAGTTGATGAGAGAATCATTTAAAGTTACAGTGGGTGTGAATGGCACTTCTGACACAGGAGTGGACTCCATCATAGGTGGGTTGAGAGATATTTGATCAGTGAGAAACACGTGGCCAGGTATGTTTAGAGTCGGGTCAAGAGATTGGGAGAGAGTGACGAGGTTTGCAGAATTTGTAGTGGCAAATGCAGTAGTTAAATCGCACTCTGAAGAATTTAATGCATTTTCTGTGCAGATTACCAAGGGCTCAGGAGATATGTTTGGGGCCAATACCTGGATTGGCCGGCTTGAAGGGTTAGACATAGGCGATGGAGCCAAAACTGTGATTAATGAAGGAGTAGTGGGGAGCATGGCGTGTGAGGCTGGGGAAGCAAATGCTATAGTGCATGGTGAAGCTGGCTGCAAGGCAACAGGGGTAAGGGATGCCGATGATGGAGCCAGAGAACTGGGGGGTAGGGCAAGTCCATAAACAAGTCCTTCTGCAACAGGTTCCACTGGGGTAATTATATCTGGACCTGTAACTATGGTGAAGTCGGTGATTAAAGAGGTCTCAGGATTACTGAGGCTTAGATTTTGCTCTCCAATATTCATTAAGGCGTTCTCCACCGTGCATGTATTTGATTTTCCTTCTTTCAAAACTGCTTGTGAAACTAAGTTTAATGTCAGCTCAGATTCACCTAGGATCTTTTTTTGCAAACTCAGATCCAGCACAGCATTACCAAAAGCTACATCTTCATTTCTTTTGACTGTATTCGAGAGATCCAGTGGTTGCTGGTTACAGGAATTACCGCCGGTCATGGGGGGCCAGCTCTCTGTCATGATAGGTTTTACTGCTGCATCCTCTCCAGATGGAGTTGTGTCATCCTTCTCATTGGCTGTTTGGTGCACAGGCGAGGAGTTATGCTGAGTCTCCATCTGTCCTGTGTTCACATCATCACAATCTGCTGTATCTAGTGTTTGTGTTTCCTCATTAGATGTTGGGTTTTGCTGCGGGGAGCTTGGTGGAGATCCAGTCCTTCTTTTAAACCTCCCTGTTCCAGCAGGCAGGACAGAGAGAGAGACGGGTGAACAAGGCTTCTGACCATCTGCGATGAGGGCAAGTGTAGGTTTAAGGCCATCCTGCTTCTCCAGGAGCTGCTTAAGCTTCGGTGACAGAAACACTGTTCTTTCCTTCTGCACAATGGTAGACTCTGTATTCTGAGGAAGTAGATTCTCCATTAAAGAAGATGCAAGTGACGATGAGGATGAAGACACAACCACCTCAGACTCCAGTTCAGTTTTAATTTGTGGCAAAAGAGGTGGTGTCGCAGTTCTTCTCTTGGCTAAAGGTTGTCCAGGAATCTCTTTGCCTGTAACTGAGTCTGTATTTAAAACCTGGCTGATCTGGGTGGGGTCTAGAATCAAGGAATCCAGTCTAATTAAAGTCGAAGACCCTGAATGAACCTCGGCTGCTTCACAGCTGCTGACTGTACTTGTTGACACTATCTTTCCATCGATGTAAAAGCTGAGATTCTCTGAAATATTGCTAGAGACATCTAACATGAATTGTTCTGCGTGTTGCCCCTCATTCTCCGGAAGAGCTGCAGGTGCTGTACTGTCACCAACCTCTGTTTTGTGTTGAGATATTTCACTGGGTATCCTCTGAGGATTTTCCTCCTGGGGCATCTGGGAATTTTCTACATGTGTGAGTTGCAGGTGCTGCTCGTGGATCCTGCGCTCATGCCGACGCTTGTTGGTATGTGTAGTGAATATCTTTTCACAGTACTTGCAACCATGATGGCCATCTGATGCTCCCTGTTGGTCTGGCTGAGCTGTGTGGTCTCCAGCCGACAAAATGAGAGTATTAGAGCTAGTGGGCGATGAAGTATGAAGCTGCATGACTGAGCCCTCTGAATCCAGAGGCTTCATCTTCTCATGCTGCGACTGACCCAGATTTGAACTAAAAGACATGTCGGTCTTATTGCTTTTGTATGCGTGTGTCTCGCTGTTCGCCAAAGAGTGGATATGCATGTGTCGTTCCAAGCCTTGTTTGCTGGTAAAATGTCTCTCACAGTGCTGGCAGGGAAAAGAGTTCCAGTCTCTCTCGGTATCCTGATTGGGGTGTTTATGAAGCTCTGGGTACAGTGACTTAATCACGTCAGGTTCCATGTTAGTTTCTTCTTCATAAATGTCCTCATCCTCCCCCTCCTCCATATCCTCATTGTCTCCAAATTCAGAGATGTACAAGTGAGGAGAGTCCTCCATCTTCTGTGGAGGTTGTATCCCGTTCTCTGCAGGATGTTTATCACACAGGACTTTTGACAGTTGTCACACCTATTGAATAGATAAAGAAGACAATGTCACTTAGCACACAACACATAATATAGCTGAAGTGCCTTTTAACGATTGAATTAGATTAACTTAGAACATCCTTGTGTAGTCTCATCATTCATACTTGACACTATAATACAAATCAATAAAGACTGGACACAAAGAATGACTTTTCTCAGACAAAAATCTACAAACCATATTTTCTTTATCAATTTATATAATAATTTGAGGTAGGGTACAAACTGTGAAAAACAATGCATATTTCCTTTTGTGAAGTGAAACGGATGTCTTGGCACCTTGATATTACAATTCATTTTTCATCTCACGAATTTGTAGACATGTTGATAATAATGATACTGTCCAAACCCTTCATGATGGACATATTACATCAGCCCTTAGCATAACTGTGTAGCAGGCCGTTCCTCATCTATAATATATTACTAGCCACATAAATACAACCATAAGGGCCCTACATATGATAAGCATTTAAAATAAAAAAAACAGTAAGTCAACATAAAAGAAAAATTGTTATCACACCATCTTACCATTTTAATGGTCAGTGCAGAGTACAAGGCGTGTTTTGTTGGACAGATGAACTCACAGGCTTTTCTTTCTGCTGCAAGAAAACCACAAAGCACACATTTTAAAAAAAAACTACAACTATGAACCTAGTTCCCTCATATAGCATGACACGGTCAAACCAGTGAATGATAAGAGGCACAAACTGATCAGAGTGAACAGCTGTGGTGTGGGAGACATTTAGCACAGTGTACTTTCTCTTTGTCATTTGGCTGCTGAATAAGCCTTAGGCCTGTCTTGTTAACTTATGCTAATGTCCCTCAAGCATATCAAGGTTACATAATGAACCAACCAACTCAGCATAGGGACCCACACTTTGCAACACTCAATGTTCTCTACAGGAAGTGTTTTCTTTTTAATTACAAGTTGCCTGCAGTGAGTACAGTCCCAAAATACAGCTAATCTGTCCCCATGATTAACAGCTACCTTATTTATCCTGGTACGGTTACCTTACACCACCTTACTGCACTAAACATTGCACACAGTCACACCAGACAACTACCACACACACACCTCAATCATGATCAATGTATTCATAGCTACCTACCTAAGAAAAGAAAGCAACAAGATTAAGTTTGGTGCATTTTGACATTCATCTACTGCTTGGTGGACAAAATGGCAGGCTCATCATGTGTGCCAGATTTTCCGAGCTCTTCCACCTGCTCCTCACGACTGCATGAGCACTTATGGCATCCAAATCTGTTTTTACTCAAGTGTTACTTCGTGTATTTGTTTTTTTAAACATTTTGCTCGTTAAGCACATGTCTTTTTTTGTTTGTTTGTTTTATGGATTCAGAGTAATTATTCCTTTACCAGCAGCTGCAGACACGAGAGGAAATGTAAACAAAGACCTTATAGCTTCTGTGTATATACGTTATCTTTACATTGTCTTAAGGCAATCCCGTAGTGAGTTACTGTTGCGCAAATAAAACTCAACCAGTCACAATATCACATAAGCAAAACCGAAAATTGTTCCAACACCATTCAAGGGCCTACATACTGAATTATTTGAGCCAGTTTCGTAAAATCCAACTTCAATTTCCATCCATTTGCACTGCAACAGGCTTACCTATTTGACACCAATCACCAATAAAATAGACTTTAAACAGAAATACTCATCTATTTTACTGATATCATTACAACTCGGACTAGCTTTTGGGGTGCGTTCACGCGCATCTGCTTCACCTGGTCTGATGACGCTCCCCCGTCCTTGCACCATTGCTAGCTGGTCACACAACACGTCGTCACTTCACTGTTTTGCTACAGAGGCTGCTAGCTCGTCCACTCAAAGGTCAACTGGCTCATCTAAAACAGCCCTACCGCTGTCCTCCAGATACGAGGAAGCTGCTCGCAAATTAAATCCTTATCACCGCCAACGTCCTGAGACAATGTTTCACTTAGCAAGTGAAATAAATCAGCTGTTATCGTCATTAAAGCATTAACAATGTACTGCTAGCTTGCACTGCTAGCTCGCAAGCCCTGGCTATATTTAGGATAGAATGTTCGACACGACCGTTACGAACACTGACCGTTATAGACAACCGCACGTTACAGTTTCCGTACATACTTCTGTTAGCAGTGAAACAAACTGCCGTGGAACGGTTTGAAATATTCCTCCTGTGCAGGTTGTAACACAGTTGTGTGTGTGTTTTCTTCCCTGATGTACTATCAAGGTTCCGGCGTTCTGATTGGTCACAGAATGTGGATGTCAAATTTGGACCAATCAGCATCAGGCTTGTTAAAGCGCTGAGAAAAGAAAAACTTGGAGCAAAAGGCAGCTGTCACTTTAGACTAAAATGAAAACATAAACACATTATTGCATTATTATGGCCTGTACAACTTGTTTCATACAAATATTATGCCGTATGTTAAGATATTGCAGATATTTATCGATTATATTAGCAAGCTTTCTGCAGCTCACTAGTTTGAGGAATAATGAATTTTGGGTTATGTAAAATGAAAGGGAAAAAGCCGAACCATTATAAACCAGGTATCTTTACCTACAGGCTACGTGTCAACACGTTTAGTTTGGAGTTTTGGTAGTTCAGTCATTTTCTACAATATTCTCAAGAATAAGCCTACATTTTCATTTTCAAATAAACAAACCTACATGCATTTGAATTATTAGTTTTAATCAGTCAAGTGATTTGACAAATTCACACAAAATGTATTTAAATTTAAATTCTTCAACTTTATAAAAACACAGCCATATCATTTTATTTCTGAAAACTCTATCCTTGCAGTGTATTGATTTGACCTGCAGAGGGCGCAATGAAATAAAGAAAAGATAAAGAAGTTTGTACTAGCTTCAGTGCACTTCTGTGGATTGATTATACTATAACTATGATTATTTACGTCAACGATATATTTCTCTGTTTGCATAGTATGAACATTTTAAAATGTGTAATGTTTACAACTTACTATATTAATAGTGTTACTATTACCAATTGTAACATACTGTAGTATGTTTTTATATAAACAGACCAGATCAACACATTAGTGTATACTTGTCTGCAAAAAAAAGCTACTTAAAACACCATACTGTTTTATTTTAATCTACATATGAACTGTTTATTTGATTCCACTCATGTTAGTTCATTGGCTATTCTTATTCTGATGTGATAGCCAGGCCATATGTAAATATACTGAATTCCCATTGTCATGTCTGTTTCACAGCTGTTGAGTGAACAGGAGCCAAACCAAGCTGACAAGCTGAAGATGTATGATGGGCATGAATATGTGCTCTCTTCCCCCGACCAGCTCTCTGTGTTCCCGCAACAATTGTCAATTGAATCACAAGGCACTGGCTCATATAAAGCTCACACCTACACTAATGGAAAGCTACCCCCTAGTTTCACATGGCATTGTTTCCACCTTCAGAACCATGCCAACATGAGCGACTTTCTTTGAGAAGAGCTGTAGGAGTTCACCATACCCCACATCATGTACATCTGTGACATTGCGCAGCACATGGGTGGTGTTCTCATGGCATGGCATGTCTTTTGTTGTATGTATTGTACGTGGGCTGAGTGAGGTTTCATTATCAAACTACATGCCAGACTCCCTGCAGCCATAATGAAAGATCATAAACAACAGGCCTCTCTCTACCCAGGCGTTTCTGCTTCTCTGTATTTTAGGTTCAAATAACCAAACTTAAACCGTAAAGTTTCAGCGTTCTGTGATAAACTGACATAGCTCTTGAGGAACAAAATGTATTAGACAGTATAAGATTCATGCATAGTTAATTTAGTAGCAAGTTGACCATGACATGTTTATTAATAGCGAGTGGTAGCGAGCCACTCTCCGGGCTCCAGTATGTCTTTCACAGCTGATGGGAATTGCAGCTGTGGAATTATGATGAGCTGCTCACAACTGGGTCTACTGGTCAGACACATACGTCAAATCATCGTATAAGCAGGTGCTGACCGCCTGGAAGCCATGTCACACACATGGCTTAGCAGTCAAACTGTGTCATACAGCTGTAATGAGTTTTGCTAGAACTGAAAGCGATGCAATACATATCAGAAACTGTGCTTTGTTGCATCATGGTAGGAAATCTTTGCAGTGGAAACTTTTAGTATATATATATATTTTAATTTTCTCTTTTCTCTCCAGGTGATGATTTGTTGCATCACTGCCATCGTATTTAGACTGAGCATGTACATACCTACTATGTTGTGATATTTCTACATTTATAAGTGTGTATGTAAGGGTTATCTCTGCAGGTGTATATATATATATATATATATATATATATATATATATATATATATATGCATATTAGCAGTGTTGTTTAGTTTTTGTGGCAACTTATGTTTCTGTAAATAAAAGCATGATAAAAAAATAAGTAAAAATTAATCTCTCTCTCTCTCTCATTTTCAATTTAATTCAATTCTACTTTCTCTAAAATCCTTTTGTTAAAACACCCCAAAAGGTGTACAATTCTTAAGCCGGGGCAGAGCGAGACATAAACTTCTGGGGCTTACCCCAAACCTAAGGGTTTCCAGGATTTTTTTCATTTCTTACGTTGGAGTACAGTAGTATGTTAATTTATAAGCCATAAGACTGTAATAGATGGCAATATTTCCCCAGTAATAGAACTTTTTGCTCCACTGAATCTCTGGTCCAGTCTGAGAGAATCACACTTAAAGTTATATCAAAAGCCCAAAAGATTTGGGGCTGTTGAGAAAACATTTTTGGCCAGAGCCCCAGCCCTCCTCTACGCCTCTGTTTTTGAGGACAATTTTAAGAGCACACAGGAAACTGAGTGATTGTGAGAGTAAAGTGAGACAAAGTGTGCCCCAGATTAGAAGCATGATAACGTATCCTGTGGCAGTGGGCACCGGTTCGTGCCAATGACTCTGTGGACAATGAAACATTCACCATCCACATGAACATATTGGACAAGAGAGACAAAGAGGGAGGGAGATAGAGGTGGTCTACAATGTGTCTGTGTATCAAGAGGATCAGTGAGCTGGGCTTTGGCATGAAACAATAAGAGGCCCTTATAGAAAATGTGTGCCACACAGCACAGACAAATACTTGCCTGTGATGGGACAACATGTCATGTCACTGGGACGAATACAAATGTATTGCTTCATGTCGTGGGATGCCAGATGTGCAGGGAAGAACATGTAAATGTGAACACGCTGGAACACAAATACAAACTGTTCAGTGCAAAAACACATGATACTTGCACACAACTGTAGCTCACTGTACTGTATATTTATGTACTGACAGTACACGCACACACACGCACACGCACACACACACACACACACACACACACACCCATGCAAATAATCCCCTAAAGTCCAATAAACACACAAATGTGCACTCCAGAATCACTGCAGCCTCTCACTTCTGCGCACATACAACATACAAATTAAGAGATGCACCGTGACCCCCATAAAGTAGCATGCCAAATGTAAATATACTGTACACACACACACACACTTACATAGCACACATCATCTATCCTTCTCACCTTTCACTGTTTTCCACACTCTGCCGCTTATCACACACACACACACACACACACACACACACACACACACACACACACACTCTCACGCACATACACTCACACACACACACACACACACACACACACACACACACACGCACACACACACACACACACTCATGCACGCACACAAGGAAATTCGGCTATTCCTTGTATCATCCATATTGTATCTGAGCACACACACACACACACACACACACACACACACACACTGTCCTGTCTATGTCTGTCACCCCCTCCCTCACTCCTCTTCCCCTGTCCCTCTCTTCTTCATCCACCCAGCTGTCTGCAGCACTCAAAGCCCATGGGCCTATCGGCTGACATTTATCTTGTGACATCACAAACCCCTGAACTCTATAGGCTTGACATATGGCGTTCTTTGCACACAAGCAGACCTACATACTGTATACATCACTTCCTGTAGATTTAAAGGAAGCATAAATTATATTTTGTCCAGCACATTACGTCCTAGAATAGAATGGTTTTATAAAGGCACTGAGTTGAGGGCATTTGATGTTGTCAATCTGTTTCTGATAGTAGTAGTCAGAAGGTCCTGGGTCCTGTCCGGCTGACGCCTTCCTTGTGTATGTGTACCTTTACATGCCTCGGCTTCTTCCCCCCATCAGAGACCGTTGAAATGACAGCTCTAAATTACCTATAGGTGTGAATGTGTCTGCCTATAGGAACACTTCTCTCACAGTGTAAGCTGTGAAACCCAGGAGAAGATAATTGATTTAGAGAATTGATGGACATTTTTAAAAACCAGAGGGATCCATTTGAGTATTTGGTATTATATAATATTTCAATTAGTAATATAATATAATATATAATATTATAATAGTGTAATATTTTCATTAACCAAACACACTGAATACCGGAAACACAATATACAGTTTGTGTTAGTTGTTTTGGTTTTGTGTTTTCATCACTCGAGACATTCCGTGTCACAAATTAAATAGATGCAGTTGTGCATACTTGATGGGTTTAGATTTACCAATAGGTGGCCCTAATGTTTACTTCAATGTGT